ACCTGGAATACGGTTCCTCCCCTGAGCGCAGTCCCTGATGCCGAGCCCGGCCAGACCACCAATTGACAGTCCTGACCAACCCCTCCTTCTGTACTTCCAGCTTGCAGCCGACCGAGTTTACGGTCGGGTTCAATTGGGAACTACGATGGTAGCGAAGCAGCGACGAAACGTATGATTGCAGCCACCTCCTCCAACGGGAACGAGCAAAATCAAATGAATCTTCTGCTAGAACACGGGAAGATACATCGCCACTCTAGCACTCCCTTACTAATGCCACTCAGACACTAACCGCCAATCCCCAATTCTAACCTTACCAACGTACTCGCCACGCTCGAAAACCTTTGCATGAGGCCTCCTCACGTTAGAATTGACCAAACAACGATCGAAATCCGTTACTTCCGCCCCCCTCCACCGTAGCCTCTGCGCAACCCTCTTCTTTTATACCTCCCCTTCTATTGACTTTCTGTCGAATCTAACTTTAGAAGTGGGGTCCCCCACTACTGAAACCCCGGGTTAGCTTCTTCGTTCGTCGGAAACGGTCGAAAAGCGGCCGATCTAACCGAGTTTCACTCCTTTCTTCTTCCTTACTTCGCCATAGCTCGTGCATCCCACTCCCGCTCCAGCTCCCTTCTTACCAATCCTTCACAAAATTTGACCTCATAACCGAGGCCGCCCGCCCCCAAAACCACGGATTGGCATCCCCCCCCCCCTTGCTCGCTTTTGTTAAGAAACAGACACGCTACCTCCTCTCCACATCACCCATCTCCCCCCTTTTCCAACGTGCACGCACCTGGCGCGATTCGTCGGCCAGGTTCATCCGCTTTTCCTCCTCTTCCACTGCTGCGCACGCCCTTTCCTTACTGACTCCTGACCTACTCATCTACTAACAAACCCAATGTCGTTATGCAAGTCGCCCCGTGCAAACCCCCATGTTTGCAACTTACCTCACTGGAATCCGTGAAGGATCGAGCGGGATGCAGAGTTCTTCACTCCCGCCTCCTTCCGTTACTCTCCCGTTGCGACCCGCGAATGAATCCGGACGTAAACAGCGTCCGGGTCCATTCCCCGCTGCAGCTCAGCACCGTAGCTTCGCCTCCGACTCTTCCCGCCCTCCTCAGTTCGTCGCACCTACCCACGATCACGGCTAAATTCGCACACCTTTCTTCCGCCTCCGAACGACAGTAGGCCGCCACCCGAAACGCTTGCCATGGCTGGAACGGAGCCTCACACTCATGGCGACGAGGCGATGGAGAAAGGAGGCGCCCAACCCTTCACCCTTCAAAGCTTCTCTTTCCTAGCTCGTTCCTATCAAGACCGAGAACAACTTGCCTTGTTCCGCAGCGCCACAACCACCATCAGCGCTTCGAGGCGCAGCCTATAACCAGCGCCGGGACAAAACCGTAGCTCTAACATCAAAACCGGCTCCACATGTAGATTCGTGGTGTCCAAGAACCTCGAAATCAAAACTTCATTCACCCGATTTCGTTAACAATCGGGCGAATTATGCAGTTCCCTCTCTACTCCCGCGCGCTAACTTCCCGCCATCTCCTGCCTTTCAACCCGTGGTGACGTCCGCCCGACACTGTAACGCACTGCGCTCAGAATAGCGCACTCCGGCCAGGCCATGCGATCGCATGAACCGAGAAGGGGAGGCGAGAATGAGTCAAACGAGCGACTCCGAAACAACAGCAGAAACGCTCCGGTTCTGTCCGCCCGGTATATACCTTAACACCCCCGCACTCTCTTACCTCCGGACGCACCTCAACGCGGAACCCGTCCGGGTTCCCCCCCCCCCTGTAGTGCTTAGCGCTTCCCCGTTTCTCCTGACTGCCCCGACTACCAACTCCTCGACGGGCGAACTCTCAGTCGCCCCGGCCGAGCCTCCCACGCCACTCCGCTACACTGTCACCCCGCCTCTAACCATGCTACGCCGGCTGGCCAGCCCCGCCACTCACTCCTGCCCTCGCCTAACCCGGGCGGGATCCGCGACCAGATCCTTTCCTCACGCTTCCCCCCGGGGACTACCGAATGCCTCGAGGACCAAATCGCGGTGGTACCCCCCCGCTGTGGCTCTTCCCAGTTCGGACCGTTAGCCGCGATACCGCGCCCCTTGAATCAGAACGGAACCGCGGATAGTAATGAGAACAATAAATAGAAATAAAGAAAAAAGACCAAAATTAAAATATCGTAAAATAACCTACACATATATATAAGAAAAGTCTAACACCCTACGGGTTCCATAGGTCGGGTCCGCTGCAGCACCCACTAGCAAAACTGAGGGTGGATAGCCTCGTCGAGCCCTCAATCCTCTCAGTTCCCTCTATGATGCTCCGCCGCTGCTGCACCAACGCCTGCTGGCCTCGATCCCTGAGTCCCTGTAGTAGTAGTCCAACGCCGTAACCTATAGGGCTATGCCCCAGCTTGGGATAACTAGGCGCGGAATCCAATATAAAGTGGTACCGCGCCGTGCCTAGCCTTGGAAACAACAGCCTAGGCCCTTTCTCTCCTACCGCGGCCGGCGCGCCAACACCAGGCCCCCGCCCCAGTCTACTTAGACCGCGCCGTGGCCGCCCCGCACGCCACCCCGTGCGCCAGTCCTACCAACGGTCGCGCATGCCAACCCAGGAACGAGCTCTTACTCCTCATCCAAGCCATAACACGGTCCGGGTCGGTCGCGCCGCTCACTCAATCAGAAAAAATCACACGCGCGCCTTAAAACTGCGCGCCCACATACCCTCTAGCTTAGTCAGGACGGGTCCCGGACGCAGCCGTACCTCGCCCGACTTATGCCGACCAGACCCATTTTTTTATTTATTTATTTTTTTTCTGTCATTTGCAAAAACCAGGGCGGATACCCTTGTAAGGGTATTCGCACCGACAGCCTACCGGACTATATTAAGCGACGTCCCCGTCGATATGCCGAATCAGAAGGCTACAAATTCATTCACACTCCAAAATGCTGACGAGGGCGGAACCAATTCCGATTAGCCGACAGACTCAGGGTTGAGGCCTCCAACATTCCATGCCAACATAACTATATGCTGCCAGGGTTTCAACCTGGGTTTCCATTGTCCTGACACTAGGACGGAGGTGTATTACGCATCAATACTACAGCATAAGTTCCAAGGGCCACCTCAAACCGCCCTCTCCCCTTCGTCCTAGACAAACGCCAACTTTTCGTTGGGTGTCCCAGTTAGACTCTCTCTTGTAAGCAGAGTCATACGGGGACGCGGGCCTTAGACGAGACCTCAGAAGGCACTCTTGCCTCCCTCGTGAAAATCCTCACAATCAAGCATATATATATATATATAAATATATATATATATATAAATATATATATATATATATATATATATATATATATATATACGTAAATCTCCTCTCAGCTCTTTCTACAGTTTAGTACAAAAATGCTAGGTCTTCATCCTGGTCCACCATAGTCTGGTTGATCGACCCAGATCTACGGCCTACCGCATTGTTGTCTTAGTGGCAGTCCCTTCGTTGGTTATGCAACGATAGGTTTTCTCCTGATAGGGATTCAATCAGGGCGCCCAAACAACTCGACTCGTATCCCCCGCCATTCCACCAGAGTAATTTCCTTGGGGCGTGCATAACCTCTTAAACTCTTACTCTGCTGGTAGACGTGGGCCCGCAGCCAGGTTGTGCTGGCTTGCAGCCATCCAATAGGGGTTGCGCCCTAGAGGTGCTAACCCTTACCGTTTAGCTTGGTATTCCCTAATATGCCTTAGGTTTAGCACAGGTGTCTAGGCGGTGCGTCGCAAAACAAACTCACAGGGCCACTGCGGGACGATGCAGGGACCCGCCCCACTTTTAAGGGTATTTACCAGCCCCCTATGGGACAACATAGAGGGCACGGCCTCTTCTCACAATCACAAACAATTTCACCGCTAGACCCACACGAGGCCGTGGCCTATTGACTTGATCAGAGACAGCAGACCACACATCCCACGACATCTTTATGCACTGACTTGTGGCTTTCTCAGTTTTATCAATGGTTCCAACCGTAATTCTGGCTCCTCTCGTCTGACTTTATCATTTAAACATTGCTTACCATGTCCTTAAATCTATCACCCATTTTTCACATGAAGGGGGTCTCTCCGAACAGGTCTCCCAGCCACCCCTCTCTTTACGGGATGGACTATCACGCGACCTGGGTTACACTGCTGTCAATGAACAACATCCTCATCTTCCATAATCCGAGGGGTCTCAATTATAGAACTACTTAACTGAGGGGCCTTCTTATGGGCCATCTCCCCAGCTTAAACGCAAAACAACTCAAACAAAGGGGCCAACTTATAGGTCCCCTTCACAACTCAGCCATAAACATTCGGCATGGTAAGCATCCGAGCCTTATAGGCTCGCAAGACCCCTCAGGGTCCTCATACATCTATCACAAGAACGACCGCGCTGCCTCCTCTTATACCCGGTCGTTCCGCCCGCCCATGGGCAGGCCGCACGAGTATACCGAAGAGTAAACGGCAACCACAATCACACAATACACATACATGAGATGTATCCCACACATCTCCCACACAACACCCTCATTCATTGGGATAAAGCCACACGTGTGAGAGTGATCTTGATCGTCACAAAAATAAGTCTCACAAAGTCTGGAATCAAAGATATACTCGGGAGCAAAATATCTCCCTCAAGTGTCGATACAACACTCAACTCAAACCCTCAACACACAACTCGTAGGGTGTATTTGGGAACAAAAAGCCTGCCCCGAAAACACTTAAATACTCGCCTCACTGTCTCACTCCACAGGATAAACTCACGTCCCAAGTGTCATGGACTCTCATAACCTACTCAAAGATACAAGTAGGAGTATCTGAATCACACAACTGAGAATGCAAGTCACGTACGTTGTAGATATTATACAACTAAGTCTCATCCCCTAGACCGTATCACACATAAGCTCAAGCCGAGCACACACCGCCACCTATGTATACACAACTAGACGGGACTCGCCTGGCTAACTCAGAGTATGTACACCCGTATCACGGCCTCTGCGTACAGAGGAGCTCTAATCCGACTGTCATATAGACGGACCAGCCCCTACCCACTCATAGCCTCCTGGTTCTGTCTATATAACTGTGCCCTACCCCCATCTGGAGCCCGCTCTACCACTCGCCCCTGCCTGTCGTACATTCTCCCACCACTCTCTGTTACTCTCCAAGCCGCCTTGTCCTTAAGGAACTTCGGGCATTCAAGGGCTGTATGTACGCCGTCCTTGCAGAAGAAGTACTGATCGTCTGATCTCCCTCGACACCTCCTCTTCTTCTTCTGGGACCCTGGCAACGGCGGCGTCTCGCTAGTTTCCCTGCTCATCTCATGGCTCTGGGGCATACTCCATGACTCTGTCGGCCCCGCCTCTATCATCTGGGTACTCGGTCCTGCTAGCGCCTCTCCTCCCTCGGGTCGGTACGCTGGAGTGTCCAATCTCAGTGGCCTACCCTTGCGGACCCCTCCCCTCGCAGTCGCCCCCTCGTCCCTATGCAGGTCGGAAGGCTGGGGAGTCATGACAATCGCTGGCTCGCTCATAACCTCCTGTTGTTGCTCTGAGATGTGCTCTCCTGAGTCAGCTCCAGTAGCCCAAGATCCTAACTGCGTCCTCAGCTCCCCTATCACTGGCACACGATCTGGGGTCTTCTGTCTCTGAGGCTCTCCTGACGGCATGTCCAGCTCCATAGCTGTCACTAACTCATCCAGTCGAGACGCCCCTCCCCCCATTGCCTCCGGCTCAGTGGATGCTGCTGCTCCCGTAAGGGCACCCTCCTGTACCTCCAAAAGGATCATAGGGGACTCCTCTGTGGGGCCCCTTCCTCCACTGGAGGTTGGGGTCCCTGCGCCGGCTCGCCCTCAGGGATCTCAATCGTCATAGGGGTGGCCTGTTGCGAGGCCAACTCCGTGGGAGTCCTGAAGCTGAACCTCCTCTCCTCGGCCTCCCGCCTCGCTGCCGCCTCTGCTGGGTCCAGGAATACCTTCCCCATTCCCTCCTACTGTGGCGTCTCCATCGTTCCTTCCTGGCCAAAGAGCCCCTGTACCTCCTTCCCTTGAATACCATACCGGTTTTGCTCCGTCCAGTCGACCACCTTAGTGGCCGAGAGCCTTTCTACCATCGCCGCCATGTCCTGAAGCCTCTTCTCCCACTCTGCCTCCTTGGCTTCCATGCGGGTCCTCCACGCCTGGTTCTCTGCCCTCTCTTCCGCCAACTGGGAGGACAGCTATCCCACTTCTACCCTCGAGGCCGCCAACTCATCGCTGAGCATTGAGTACCGCTGGAAGGACGAGATTGCCACCTCACCTATCCTCCTGTCCGCACGCTCAATCTCCATCCTGGTGGCCGAAAATACCAAGTCCTCTATTTTTCGTCCCTTGTCCACCCCCGCATTCTCCTGTCCTACCTCTCGCGATCTCAAACGAGCAGCGTCCCTCTTAGTCTCATAGCTGGCCCAAACCTCGCTAATCCTCTGGTCGCTCGTCGGAGGGTCAATTGGCGGCTTTGGCGCTTCCCCTGCGGCCTCCATCCTAAGCTTTTCCTGGTATAACTCCTCGAGGCGTACCTGCACCCTCGCGCGCTTCTCTTCTCTCGTCTCCCCTGGTGGCTTCTCTGTCCTCGCCTCGTGACCCTCTCGCAGTAGATCTCCCTCACTTGTACCCTCCTCTGCGGGTGGCGGCTCTGGCGGAGGCTCCCCGGATGTCGGCACCTCCACATCCATACGTGCATCTGTAGACTCAGTTGGTTGCGGCGCCACAGTAGTAGGTGTCCTCGTCCTCTCGCCCCCCTCTGGCTCCATCTGCGCCGGTGGTGGCGTAGTAAGGCCCCAACATCTCCTCGCTGTCCGACTCAGGAATTCCTTTAGGCCAATACTGCCGCGCCTGCTCTGGAATCGGGGTAGGAGGAGGGGTATCATCCCCAACAGCGATAACCTCCTCCGTTTGCGGCTCCTCGGGTTCGCGAGACCCCGCCTCAGGCCCCGACTCAGGTGACTCCTCCTCTGACTCATCCTCTACTGGCTCATACCGTGTCGGTCCACTCTAGTCCGCTCCCAGTTGTGACGCCCCCCACTGGGACGCATCGAGATGAGCCTCCAACCTGTCGAGCGGCGTCCTCAACGACACCCCCCCGCCCCTTTTTGGTAACGTCGGCGACGGGCCCCGTAGATCACTACCCGTGATTTAGCGAAACTCCATCTGCTCAAGTCCATAGGTAGGGGGTAGCTCCGCCGCCTGAGCTGGCCCCGCGGCCTGAACTGGCTCCACCGCCTGGGCGGCCTCTGCTGGCCCTTCTCGCTGTGCCAAGGGCTTTCGGCCACCTCTGGTCGTAGTGGTCCCTCTCGCCTCTGGGCCCCGTGGCCTCTTACTCCTTTGTCGTCTCTCCACCCTGGGCTCTGGTCTCTCGGGCTCCAGTCATCGAAATGCCTGTCTCAACTGGGCTTGGCAGTCCTCCCAGTCGTGTGCCCTGTCCCGGATCTGCCTCGCCAGCGACCTCTCCGCCCTCCGTGTCCAAAGGGGCAGCATCTGCATCCACTCCTCCTGCCTAGTCCCCTGGTCGTGCATATACTGCTCATAGGCTGGGATGAACTCCTCCGCATTGCCTTCCTCCAATCGAATAGGCAATCCATCCGGTCCCATCGGCGAAGCCCTCAGCATCTGCATCCTCGCCTCCACATCCTGCCAGGTCAAGGCCTCCTCCCGGATGTGCGCAATAGGCTCCTCAAAGCGCCCAACTCCCGTCAGGTGCCGTATCCTCTCCAAGGTAGACCAGCCTTCTCGTGTCGCATGTGCCTGGTATGAATCCAGAAAAAACTCTATGTTATCGTCGTCGAAGATAGGCGTAGACTCCCTCCCAACCGGTCTGCGCGAGTCATCCCCTCCTGATGCTCCTTGAGGCCCCTGTCGTGGCCGCGCGCCCCTCCCGCCCCTCCCGCCCCTCTGCACAACAGGCGAGAGAAAGCAAGCAGGCACACAACAAGGTTAGCCCTCAGTTCATCAAGTTTTTATGACAACACACATGCCTTTTCCTACTCCCTCACCTGTCCTAACCATAACATGCAATACCTCAAGGATTTGTTTACTCTGAAGAAGGTAGAATTCTTTACCTATTCCCTGGCCACAAATTTCTTCAGCCTGGTCCTTGATACCCAATCTTGCCAGCCTGTCCCGTCCAGCTCCTCGATCTGATAGGCCCCAAATTCACCACATCGCAAAATTCTATAGGGGCCCATCCATCTCTTGTCGAGCTTCCTCGACCATTGCTTCTCCAGAGAGGAGTCGTATAGTAACACAACGTTCCCTACTGCCAACGGCTCCTTCCTTACTCGCGCCATCTGGTCCCACCTCATCTTGTCTTCCATGCGGCTCCTTTCTACCTGATCGGCGGCCTCTCGCAATCTTTCCTCGGCCGCCCCCACTTGCCGCGCCCGAATATTGAGCAGTTCTTCGAAGGATAGGTTTACTTCCAAGTCTTGGTGCCTCCAGATCTTCATAAAGCTTTCTATGGGAAAGGTGGCGTGCCTCCCATACCATAGTGTAGCTGGCGCGTACTTGGTAGTCCTTTTTACAGTAACATTCTCCACGAAGAAAGTTGCCCGTAGGAACTTTGGCCATTGACCAGGTTTGCCCTCTGTCCACTTAGCCAGGAGATTCGTGATGGTACTGTGCCCCCTCTCCACAGGAGCGTTGTCGGGCGCATCGGTCCGGCACCGCACGGGGGCATCGTGGGACCCTCCCGGCCGCGTCACGTAGGAGTTGGTTTTCATAACCCTTCGTCGCAATATACATGGAGCTTCCGCAAGCCGCTTCGGCCGGGTGCGCCAGCCATACCTCTCGCGAGCCCCTACGAC